ACAATGGTCTGACCCACAGCAAGGCAGCAGCTTGAGCTGGGGAAATTTTTTCCCCTCTCAAAAACAGAACCGTATTAAGTTAATTTTACGAAGTGTTGTAAAAAATTGTGCCGCAGTTCTTTAGTAGTGCAATAACCAAAACATGACAAATAAATCCATGTAATATAAAGGTCTACTGTATATTGTATAACTGTTTATTCTATTTTTTACTATTTTGATGTAAATAGTACTTATAATATTAGTTATTTCAGAGTGTAATACTCCTCAAAACTTATTACAATTACTTATAATAATAAATTTTTTTCTTCATCCAACCAGCCAGATCCCACCGAGGCAGGGTGACCTAATGTAATGTATACAGGAGAAGGGGTTACTAGCTCCTTGCTTCTGGCATTTTTGTTGCCTCTTATGACACGCATGGCTTACGGAGGAAGAATTCTGTTCCACTTCCCATTGGAGATGATAATACTTATTATATTACAATTATTTCAGAGTGTAACACTCCTCAAAACATGGAAATAATTCACATTGACTTTTCTTGGTTTATCCTGGGTTAAATATACTTCATATGTTTTGTGGCTGAATTCCTCTGTTAGTATCAGGAAATTGTAATAACTTTGGAATGAATAAGTCATCATTGTGCAACTTGCACAACCTGTTTGTTGGTAGGGAAGCTGGTGGTGGAACAACAGCTTCTGGTTTATTGTTTAACTTTGCTAGTTAAGTATAGCAGTACACTCAGTCATCACTTGTGTAGTTAACCATAATACAATGTGTGAACACTGCTGGCCTTAAATCTTTTCAAATGTATAAACAGTTGGAAGACCTAAAGAGTTGTACTCGCCTAATTGTACTCGCCTAATTGTATTCACCTAATTGTGGTTGCAGGGGTCGAGACTCAGCTCCCGGCCCCGCCTCTTCACTGACCGCTACTAGGTCCTCTCTCTCCCTGCTCCCCCGAGCTTTATCATACCTGGGCTTTAAAATTATGTATAGTTCCTGCCTCCACTACATCGCTTGCCAAACTATTCCACTTCCTAATTACTCTGTGACTGGAGAAATACTTCCTAACATCCCTTTGACTCATCTGAGTCTTCAGCTTCCAATTGTGACCCCCTTGTTTCTGTGTCCCATCTCTGGAACATCCTGTCTGTCCACCTTGTCTATTCCATGCAGTATTTTGTATGTCGTTATCATGTCTTCCCTGACCCTCCTGTCTTCCAGTGTTGTCAGACCGATTTCACCTTTGCACTTTCTCTAATTTCTTGACGTGTTTGACCAGGTGCGGGTTCCAAACTGGTGCTGCGTACTCTAGTATGGGCCTGACGTACACAGTGTATAAAGTCTTGAACAATTCCTTACTGAGGTACCGGAACGCTATTCTCAGGTTTGCCAAGCGCCCATATGCCGCAGCAGTTATCTGGTTAATATGTGCTTCTGGTGATGTTCTCGGTATTATACTCACTCTTGTCTTTCTCCTTGAGTGAAGTTTGCAGCCTTTGGCCTCCTAGCCTATACTCTGTCTGCAGTCTTCTTTGCCCTCCTCCGATCTTCATGACTTTGCATTTGGCGGGGTTAAATTCTAGGAGCCAGTTTCTGGACCAAGCATCCGGCCTGTCCAGGTCTCTTTGTAGACCTGTCTGGTCCGCGTCTGATTTAATTCTTCTCGTTAACTTCACGTCATCTGCAAACAGGGACACTTCTGAATCTATCCCTTCCATCATGTCGTTAACATGTACCAAAAATATATTGTAGATGGAACATTTGTGGGTACAAAAAATTGTGTACTAATACGTTGGACACAGTTCAAGGGTTAAAGTAGGTTACCTTCATCTAAATAGACTGGCAAGTATTGCAGAGTATGCTTTTGTTAGTTCTAAAGTAATTAGTCATGGGCCTTGTTATTTTTCAGTAAATTTTGCAATTAGTTTTAACTGTATCTTTCAATCATTAATCTGTGTCCAACCTACTGGTATGCATGATTTTTCATACCAGCAAATCTGCCACTTGCCAATATTTTTGACCTCAGCACAACTCTTTGGGTCTTATATCTGTTCATACATTTAAAAAACATCTATGCCTGCAGGTTCCACATAATATGTCAGTTAACTACACAAGTGATGACTGTCTCTGACATACTAGTACACCTGAGTAGCAAAAGTAAACTATGAACTAGAAGCTGTTGTTCCACCACCAGCTTCCCTACCAACAAACAGTGGTGTGCAAGTTGCACAAAGATGACTTACTCATTCCAAATTTATTACAATTTTATGATTCTAACAGTAAATTCAGCTATAAAGCACACTAAGTATATTTAACCCAAGATAACCTAGTAAAGTCAGACAATGTGACTAATTTCTGTTTTGAGAAGTATTACACCGAAACAATTCTAATATTATAAGTATTTATTGTACATAGCCTTGAAAAGAACATAATAGTAAAAAAAAAAAAAAAAAAAAAAAAAATTAAGTACCGTATATTCCAAGTGGGGCAATGTTTGGGCTAAGCATTTCCATATGTTTGAAGTGCTAAAATACCTTTAAACACAACACATTAACCCTTAAACGGTCCAAACAGATCGACGTTCAGATTCATAGTGCTCCAACAGTAGATCTACTTTTTTTTACATATTTTCAAATATAACAAAAAAAAAAATGTAGATAAAAGTTTTTTTACACATTTTCAAATGTAAAACAAAAAAGATCTACATTTTTTTACATACTTTCAGATGTTGAAAAAACGTATATATACGTTTGGACTATTTAAGGGTTAAAAACTAATTAAAAAAATTAAAAAAGCAGAAAAACAATCATATCTTGGTGTCAAAAAATTGTAAAATGCAAATATTGCTGGAGCTTTTATTCTTCTGTTGCCAATAAGTGATCATTTTTTTGCCAACTTCAACACACCATAAAATTGTAAGTTATCAGATTAATTACACATTCTAGTCTTATTTGATTCAGGAATATAACACCAGAATAAGTACTCTAGGCAGTAGACAATATGTACAAGAAGTACAGTAAAAAAAAAAAGTACCAGGGATGATTACTTGAGATGAATTACAGCACTTCATATTAAGACTTTGTGGTGAACACTTGTTGAGTTTGGAGGTTATTTGAAAGAAAAGAAATAGGATTGCATTTTTTGTTAACGTTAAACGACAGTAACACATCAGTTCTTCTGAAGTAGGTAATCCCCTGTAACTCCATTGCCTTGTGAACCTTACTAAGGAATGAGTTGTAATTCAAAACTGGTGTGACTAATGTGTGCTGTGTGCCACCTTCCAACCATTGAGAAATACAACATTAGTCTTTATTCTGTTTGTCTCCTAATATTGTATATTATTTGTAAATCTAAACTGTTGTAATGCAGTTATTTAACGGGTACTGCCTGTATTGTTTGTTACCAGCAAACTTATATAGAATGTTGATTTTGTTTGGTTTTGGAAATGTTTGTCAATAAGGAAAAATAAAGTATACTTTTAGGTACATATTGTTCATTATATAAACTCAGACTTCAATGCTATTATGTTCAAGTGGTGGAAAAATCATTAAGAGATAATAAAATTTGATGTTATCTCCCATATAACAGCATGGTAAACTTTCAGTGGTGAATTGATTATTTATACTCCACAATATTAAAGATCTACTTGTCTGTTACATATTAGACTTTTCTAATACAAATTTAATACTATAGCTTTTACTTTGTTTAACTCTTGTCAATTATCACATTCTTTGCATTTCTTAATTAACCCTTAAACTGTCCAAGCAGATCTATGTTCACATGCATAGTGCTCCAAAAGTAGATCTACGTTTTTTACATATTTTCAAATATGACAAAAAAAAAATGTAGATCAAAGTTTTTTTTAAATGTTTTCAAATGTAAAAAAGAAAAGATCTACTTTTTTTTACATACTTTCAAATGTTGAAAAAACGTAGATCTACTTTTGGACAGTTTAAGGGTTAAATTGAAGTTTAGCTGAAGTATACAATGTTCAAATGGGAATTCTCATGGATTTACATTAAATTGTCATGGATTTACATTAAATTCTCATGGATTTGCATTAAATTCTCATGGATGTACATTAAAAATATATAAATTGTTTTAGGTGTTCTGTGAAATGTATACAGTACAGGGTAATAATGACCATAAGTTTTGTGTTTACCGTACAATAGTGTTGGTTTCCTTACTTGCCAATAGTTGCTTTTCTTTCACTGAAGTGCATTAAGCTGGTGCTGTTATATGGACTTCTGCTTATAAATGCAAATCTTTTAATGTTGAGTATTAACTTTGTATGTTAGAAGTTCTTGTCATAACATTTTCTTGTTAATTTCACCACAGTTGACTTGAGAGATTGACTAAGGTCATTGAGAGGTAGTTTGAAAAGTTTGTTCCTTCAGAGGCTGTTATATTCTTTTTGCTGTCATATATATTTGATGCTCCTCATATCTAGACAGCACCCAGCTTGATAATGGATTACAACTTCAGCAAGATTACTGCATAAAGTTGAAGCATAGGATTATATTTAAAGAAAGAAGTACTCTTCAAGACATGGTTAACATAATATACTGGCAGTGTTTAGGTGTATTTTCAGTGCATGAATTTTGGGTCAATTAAAACATTGGGGTGATGTCTAGTATTGCATATCACTTCATGATATCTGTTGTATGTATGAATCTTTTACAAAAGGGGAAGATTTCTTGACTGTCTTTTAATTGTAACCATTTCTTTGGATTAATTGACTTTCTTGATAATTCTATGAACATTTAGCAGCATGATTAAATTCTTAATCATATATTTCATTGTATGGTTCTAGATGATCCAGGAAACTTTGTTTTTGATGAGCCCCTTGGCTCCTGTTGCTGTTGTAACTTCTTGTCTCAGATCCCTCAGTCTGGACCTGTTGCCTAATTGGGCAACCCTGGGAAAACCTTCCCTTGGTGAAGCTTCTCATTTTTAAAAGTACTATATAGTGACTGAGTGGAGAGTATCTCCCACAGGATGGGGGTCAGGGTAACCGCCAAGGGCGGACTCTTTCCTCTCCAGTGCGTCCGTCACCTGTACCTGTACGCAAGTTTCCACAACGAGACCACCAGTACAACCCTCGTCGGTCCTGGGACAACGAGTCTCCTCTCCGTGGTAGGGGTGGTCATTCTTATGGCTCAGCTGGACGTCACATAATGACTGATAACCAGTTCAGAAAAACATCAAAGATCAAGAGGGGTAGACCTAGGCCTGATACCAAGGATATTAAAGCTTCTGCAAAAGACCAGAAAGAGAAGAATGAGGCTACACCAGCAGCAACAACCGAGGCAGCCAGTGGCCAGAAGGGAAACAAGCCTGAAGGTGATGGGTCCTCAGCTTCAACTCTATCTAAACAGAGGTAAGATTCATGTACAGTCTGCTGGTGAAATTTGCTAGTGATATCACTGCTAAAGAAGACATTCTTGACTGAGGCTGGTTTATAGACTGGCCTCTGCAGTTGGTTTGTTTTATGGAAGTAATTACTCCCCAAAAGCATTTTCAAGGGTTATATTGGAGTGGTGGTGTCAACACACCATCTCTCATCCTTATAGTATATTGTCACATCACATCTTATTATTTGCTTGAAGATATTCACAAATTTACTTGTTTGCTTGCACTGCCATGAGCTTGTGTGGTTGAATTAGTAAATATCTTGCTTATTGACGAGTTCGAGGTAATTTTCTGCTCTCTTTTTGAGGAAAAGTTTGGATATTTTTGCTTTAGTCAGTTTCATGTGTGCTAGAATTCCCACATTATTGCACACATTTGCACTTCAAGCAGTAGCTTATAACTCTTCTTGGAGGTTAACTAGAGTTGTACTGGGATGAAAATTTGAGAGTAGAGAGGTAAAGAGTTCTTTCTAGAATGTATGTGGTAGAAAGATGCATTCACTGTATGATTATTTGTATATATGTGCAAGCATGCACATTACTTTTTCTTTAAGTTAGTATGTTTATTAAATGTGGCTTTGTTATTTAACATTTATAATTCTTCAATTTGTATCCTTTTCCAGCATATTTTGGTAGTCTCAAAACTCAAAATGGCATAACAAAAATTTAGGTTAAGTGGTTTTGAACTGGTAAAAGTTTGGTGGAATGATAAGGTAAAGTTTAGCATATGAGAGGTTTTTACAAAGCAGAAGGGATATAAGCAGGGTGGAGTATACAGAGAGAAAAAGAGGTTAAGAGAGTAGTGAGGAAGTGTAAAATGAGAGCAAATGAGTCGTTAGGTTTTGTCAGCAAATTTTGCTGAGAAGACAAAATTGTTTTGTATAGAGTTTAATAGGTTGAGGAAAACTTGGAAATGAATGGATATGACATTTGAAAATGGAAGAGGGGAGTTGGAGGTATTGGGAAGATGGTGGGAATATTTTGAAGAGCTGTTAAGTGTTGATGAAGGAAGGGAGGCAGTGATTTCATGCCTTGGCCAGGAAGATATAAAATTCTTGAGGAGTGAGAGCATTGTTGGTTTGTGAGGCAGTGGGTAAGCTGAAAGGGGGTAAAACAGCTGTGATTGATGGAATCAAGACAGAAATGTTAAAAGCAGTTTGGAATATAGTTATGGAGAGGTTAGTAATTTTGTTCAGTAAATGTATGAAAGAGGGGAAGGTACCTAGGGATTGGCAGAGGGCAGTTTTACAAAAGTAAAAATTATAGGAGAATAAGCCTGTTAAGTATACCAGGTAAAATGTATGGTGGAGTTATCTCTAAAGAATTAAGGGTAAAATGGAGAGCAGGATTGCAGATGAGCAAGGAGGCTTTAGGAAGGGTAGGGGATGGGTAGACAAGGTGTTAACATTGAAGCTTATAAGTGAACAGTATTTAGATAAATAAAAGGAAGTTTGTGTTGCATTCATAGATTTGGAAAAGGCATTTGATAGGATGGATAGGGGAGCAGTGTGGTACATGTTTCAAATGTATGGAATATGTGGTAGGTTACTGAAAGCAATTAAGTTTTTGAGGACAATTAGGCTCACAGTAGGGTATATAAGATAGGGATTTTCTTGTAGTGGTAGGCCTTGAACACAGATGTCTCATCAGCAAAAAGCAATTGTGACAGCTCCCACTTGCGTTAAATTCTTTGCATTTTATTCCCACTCCTCTCCCCAACACACTGGCATTCGCTTCTTTTGCACCCCATCTATAAATGTTAAAAGCCATGTTGACATCACACAACTGTCTAAGCCCTACTTTTATTGGAAAATCTCTCCTACATACCCTAAACTGAGCCTCACTTTCCTAATTAAATCTCTAAACAGCATTTGGTAATCTTCCACCTGTTCCATACAGTTGCAGCATCTGCCACATTGCTCATCTATCCACCATATCATATAAATTTTATATATCCATAAATGCAATAAAAACTTCTTTATTGAAAAATTGATCACTTTTATGGTTCAATGTAAACACTTGGTCTTCATATCCCCTACCCTTTCTAAAGACTCCTTGTTCATGACTCTACCATACAAAAGTACCAACCACTCCAAAAACTATATCTCTACCTACTTTTAACATTTCTGTCTTGGTCCCAGCTGCTTTACCTTTTTCGATATTTACCCACTCTCTCACTCCTCCCCCTACTCTCACAGCTAGCTCTTGCTCGCTCCTAAAAGAAGTTATACCTCCCTGGCCAATGCCTTCAACTTCCCTCTTCTGTTTTTAACTGTCAAATCATTTGTTCCCTAGTCTTTCTCACCCTTTTAATCTCACTCCAAAGCATTTTTTTTTTCTTAGATACACCCTCACTCTCATTTACTCTTACACTCCCTCATCACTCTTAGTTCCTCTATTCTCCACCCTCCTTATATCACTTATGCTTTGTAAAAACCTCACGTATGATAACTTTTTCTCCCTTTCCACACACTACCTTGTTCCACCAATCGCTTCTCTTCCTTCCTGTACTCGCCCTCCTATATCCACAAACTTCTGCTGCATACACAAACACTTTCTCATTACCTATACAGTGGACCCCCGGTTTACGATATTATTTCATTCCAGAAGTATGTTCAGGTGCCAGTACTGAATGAATTTGTTCCCATAAGGAATATTGTGAATTAGATTAGTCCATTACAGACCCCCAAACATACACGTACAAACGCACTTACATAAATACACTTACATAATTGGTCGCATTGGGAGGTGATTGTAAAGCGGGGGTCCACTGTACTCTCATTAGCCCATCTTTCTCCCAGTAGTTGCTTATATATTAACATAACTACATCCTCTTTTAGTTTATAAACTGTCACTTCTCACATGCTGTTACCATTCTCCTTATACCCCATCTACCTTTTACTCTCACTGTAGCTAAAACTAAATAATGTTTTGATATATCTGTTGCCTGCTATAAATATACACATCCTGAAGTCTACCTATTAACCTTTTATCCACCAATATATAGTCCAATAAACTATTGTCATGGCGCCACATAGCATATTTTCTTTACTTATCCTCTTTTTCTTAACCCTTTGACTGTTTCGGTCGTATATATACATCTTAGGAGCCAACGTGTTTAACGTATATATATACTCAAAAATTCTAGCGGCTTCAAATCAAGTGGGAGAAAGCTGGTAGGCCCACATGTGAGAGAATGGGTCTGTGTGGTCACTGTGCACAGTATAAAAAAATCTTGCAGCAAGCATGCATAATGAGAAAAAACTGTCTTTAGGTTAAAACGCCGACTTTGAGGTGTATTTTCGTATAATTTTATGGTTATATTCTTGTTTTTGTAGTCACATTTGATAGAATGGAAAACATATAAAAAAAGATATGATTTTGATTGGTTTTACTATGAAAAGGACCTTGAAATGGAGCTCAAAGTAGGGGAAATGTTTGATTTTTGCCAATGTTCAAGAGTAAACAAGTGAAATCATTGTCCAATAAATGTCCAACTAGCCATGCTAATATGCAGTCATGAATGGGTTGACATTATACAATTATTACAATATTGAAGTAGTTTGCATAACAGAGGGGCCTGGAGACATGACTGATGAACAGAGAAAATGTTATTTTAGAGTGAGGAATGTCTGCATTGTTCTTTCTTGAAATTGGCATTTTTTTTAATTTGCATGAAATTGGCCAAATTGCCAATTTCTGACCACTTTATTGGGTAGTTGAAATCGGTAAATGGGCCATTTCTTGTGCTCAGTCGATAGAACAAATGGAGTTCTAAAGAAATAGCTATGAGTTTGGTCAACGGGAACAATGAAATTAGCCAATAATAGGGCTCAGTTGGGCAAAATCACCGATTCGTAAATATCACAGAGGTCGCTAACTTTGCGAGAGCATAATTCCATAAATTTTCCATCAAATTTCGTGCTTTTGGTGTCATTACCATCAGCAAAAGATTCTCTTATTTCATAAAAGAAAATTTTTTTTGTTTCCCAAATATTTTTCAACACCAGGAGACACTTCAGGATTTTGGGTTGCGACAGTCAAAGGGTTAAAATCTGTTACCTATTAACAGACATCTTTCTATACGAAGTTCATTTTTTTTTTTTAGCAAGTTGGCCATCTCCAACTGAGGCAGGGTGACCCAAAAAGAAAAAAAATCCCCAAAAAGAAAATACTTAAATCATCATTCAACACTTTCACCTCACTCACACATAATCACTGTTTTTGAAGAGGTGCTCAGAATACAACAGTTTAGAAGTATATACGTATAAAAATGCACAACATATCCCTCCAAACTGCCAATATCCCAAACCCCTCCTTTAAAGTGCAGACATTGTACTTCCCATTTCCAGGACTCAAGTCCGGCTATATAAAAATAACCGGTTTCCCTGAATCCCTTCACTAAATATTACCCTGCTCACACTCCAACAGCTCGTCAGGTCCCAAATACCATTCGTCTCCATTCACTCCTATCTAACACGCTCATGCACGCTTACTGGAAGTCCAAGCCCCTCGCCCACAAAACCTCCTTTACCCTCTCCCTCCAACCTCTTCGAGGATGACCCCTACCCCGCCTTCCTCCCCCTTCAGATTTATACGCTCTCCAGGTATTCTACTTGGATCCATTCTCTCTAAATGACCAAACCACCTCAAAAACCCCTCTTCAGCCCTCTTACTAACACTTCTATTAACTCTACACGTTCTCCTAATTTCCACACTCCTAATTTTCTGCATAATATTTACACTATACACATTGCCATTAGACAGGACATCTCCACTGCCTCCAACCATCTCCTCGCTGCAGCATTTACAATCCAAGCTTCACACCCATATAAGAGTGTTGGTACTACTATACTTTCATACATTCCCTTCTTTGCCTCCATAGATAAATTTTTTTTTTTTTTTGCTCCCCACACACTTCAATGCACCACTCGCCTTTTTTTCGTTCATCAATTCTATGATTAACCTC